CATTCAAAATATGCTACATGATCTGTCCTAAAGCAGACTTTAAAATCCAGAAAGGAATATTTCAGATTCATGTGTTGATGTGGGAAGCCTGACACACAAGAAATTTGATTGAGACATGTACATTTATACATAGATGCGTATATATATATAAAAAATTATCTTCCTTTTCTAAAATTCTACTTCATAATGACTTACAGGTGTGAGATTCTTCATGAAAATTAAAGAGGAACAAGAAATTAATAAAGTGGAAAAGCAAATCTGATAAACAGAATTATCTTCTTGCATAACACTTTTATATATTGAAGCTGCTTGCTACAAGACCAGTAACCTAGTAGAATTCAGAAATAATTGAAATCTTATGTAAAAAATAAGCATATCTGCTCCTAATACACAGTGCTAACAGAAAGTTGAGAAAAGCCTGCTTCAGTACTATGTCTCCCATCTTTAACCTTAAACTGAGATAAATCCTTATACTGTAAAGATTCCTCCGCAATCCACTCAGATTTTGAGAAGGAAGACATCTAAAAAGAAAACATTCAAGGAAAAGAACAAGATCCTACTATAAAAGATTCATCTACAAAGCATCCCTGAAACACATCACAAAATTTGTTCAGAGATTGTGGTTAAAGAGCTGAAGAATGCTGGGTAGCTGTGGTGGTAATGTGAATATTGATAAAAGTGACTTTGATGCAAAAGAAACCCTAAAAATAATACTGCATAGATTTTCAGTTACTCAAATCTGTGTTCTCCTTTGAAACATTATTTTGAAGCCCACACTAGTGCTTGAATGTTTCCCATCCTTGGCTCTAAGTTTCCAAAGAGGGGCAAAAGCAAGCTCAGTGTACTCTGCAGCATCCCAAATGATATTTCTAGCAGAAAACCCTCCAATGAAAGAAAAATGAGCTATATGTCAAAATAGATTATTATCCCGCGGAAGTCAAGAAAAGAGCTTCAACTTCTGACTTGGCCACCTCTAGTTGTGCCTAACCAAGAAATCAGCACAGAAGTAGCAGGACCAAACCTGTGGAAGAAAGTAAATATCTGACTGTTCCAAGACACATGACTGAAGTACAAAGGCAAATTGAATTCAGTAGTGACCAATTATTGGACCAAAAAAAGAAAAAAAAGAAAAAAGAAATAATTTTATACTTCTCTCTGAGAAATGTCATAAAACAGCCTAAACATGTTCATTTTTAATGCTGCAGGAAGGGCTAATCTGTAATTAAAGCTTTACAAAAATTAGGACTGCCTATACAGAAAAATATGGAGCTTGAAAGCCTTGACTAAATAATACAAGGTCAAAGTAAGAGAGAGTAGTGGTTCTATTAGCACAACAAAAGAGGAAATATCAAAGCAATCTCTGGAACAATTGCAGTAACTAAGTTGCCACATGTCAAAACGAACAGCCATGCAAAGCAGAGAAAAAGAGACAGGGTTTATGCAGAAGAGAAAAACCTAAAATTTCCCTATCATGCTGCTGATCAGCAGTGTAGCCGATACATGTTCAGCAACTAAATGGAATTCATTCCTGAAAAGAAACTTTCTATTAGTGCTGAATACATGATGTAGAGGGAAAAAAAAATAAGAAAAGGACTTCAAAGGCAAATGCCATTCCCCAGACCAAATCCATATCTGTCTGCATGTGATACTGACAAAAGCTAAATGGAAATGGGGTGACTTGATATGCTGCTGCTGGGATTAGTTCTGATGGCAACACTGCACTGTCCCGTAACATTAAACGTGTTGCAGCATGATCCAGCTTCTGTGCAGTCTGCAGGGGTCTTTCCTTCCACTGAAATGGGAAAGGCATCATCTTCTTAATAAGAAAGGAAAGGTGGGGAGGGATGACAGGCTAAATAGTGGAGGACATTCATTTCTGCTGCTTTCAGCTCAGCCCAGTGTACAGAGCAGTTGCATTTCTGCAGTATCAGCCTGAAATGGAAATTGTCACTTAGGGGGTCACAGGCTATAACTCTATCTCCCAGCTTCTTCAAAGAGAAGAGCAAGCATCAGTCTACAGGCATGCATTATCCCCCTCTGCCATATTTTATGTCAGAAAACACACTGAAGGTGCAAAGACACTTTGTGCATTCCCCACTCTTGCGCTCCCTGGTCACCAGAATGAAGAAATATGTCTCCATGAAACCATCTCTTTTCTAAATACAGATGGCTGTGGCATGTCATGCCAAAAGGCTATCGGCACAGTTCCCTGCAGGCTGAATAAGCCATGACCTGACCTCAAGTTCTGCTCTTCTCTCTGTGTGCATGTGACAGAGAAATAGCTCTAAGAAAAATATGACAGAAGCAAATCAGTAGTGATAAAGGCAGTGGCTACCTTCTTAATCAACATGTGGCCCAGGTTCTTTTAAGAAAATAATGCTTCACAATAGCTATACCTTTAATTCTTTTATGCTATTTTCCTGCTGGCTTCCACAAAGCATTTCATCTGTCTAGTGAAAAAGAGAGGCTACTGACCTTCCCATTTACAATAACCATTGTGAGGGATTCACTTCACCTAAGCTTGGCCCCATGCAGAATAGCCCTCTAGCTTAACATATTCATTTTGGTACCCTTCTTAGAGAACATTGCTGTATTGAAAACTTATTTCAGGATGTGCTCTGTCATGCTATTGATAAACCAAATGTATATGCTGTTGGCATAAATCTTCTTTTCCCTTTGTGTCCTTCATTAAAAATCCTACTTATAAGATGCTGTCCTGATCCCTTTCTTCCTCCTGAGCCTTAGCATGTTTTGATTATAATGAAATTCGTGTTAATTGACCACTCAAAGACTGGGTCTATACTTCAGTCACAAACTTACACATCTCAGCTATTTTTAAAATAGCTGTTCTGGTATAGTAGCAGTTTAATCAAGACAGTATGGAGCTTAGTGCAGGCTAAGCATTTCTCCTCTGTACAGACATACTATTGTTATTCTTACAACAAAACAGCATCTCAAAGCTATCCTTTAAGGTATTTTGTTGTAGATGGAACTCAGAGCATTTTAAGGACATAGTAAGAAGGATTCAAAACAAAAACCAAGAAAAGAAAAATATTTCTCAGTCAAAGCATAAACTCAGGATGTTTCTAGACATCAAAAAATAGAAGTGGTAAAATACCTTTCTTGGAATGCTGCCAGGAATCCCCATTTACTGCTGGTCTTAGTGATAGTATAGGAACAAAAATACAAGATAGGAACAAAATTTTGTCTGAAGGTTTTTCTACTTTGTTCCCCCAATTTGGGCACCTATCAGTATTTTAGAATAGTAATACTAAAGCCCTCAAGGAATTTTCCAGTGGTCGTCTCTCATCTCCAAAGGCAATGATTTTCTGCACAGGATCTTTCTGTAATCTTGGAAAAAAAAGAAAAATAACAATCATGAGATTCCATAAAAACTGAACTTTTAAGCATCCGTCCAGTGTATACATACATGAAATAACATTTGAACTCTTTTAAAATATCTGAGACACAAATTCTTCAACACATTAAAGTTTTATGAAATATCAAAAATACCCATTTAGATTAAACCCCGTTTATTAACATCCAGAAGGTCAACCTTCACCTGGTTTCATTTAGCCAAGCCATTGATCTATCTTTCCACTTATTAAATAAAAATAAAGCTTTCATATTCACTGCATTTTACTGGAGTCTGGTGTATACATTTACTCAAAATAGAGCTGTGACTATGCAAAGTGAGTAGTTCCAAAGTATATATTAATTGGTACTGGAGTTCAAAGTATTTTAATCAACTTACTAAAGATAGATGTTACTATCTCTGGATTTGGTCTAAAGACTTAATACTAGAAATGTTATTTTGTTCTGAAGAGGCTTCTGATGTCCTTTTAAAATGTATGGTCATTTCACAGACATAGACTTTAGATACTTGCTACCCCTTAATTATTTTTTTTCCTTTAATTTGAATAAAGTTTATTAAAAAAGATGGGAATGAATGATCACACTTTCCATGGCCATTCATTTGCCTGCAGCACCACTTTTTAGAATTTTCATAATACAGAAAATGTGATTAAAATAATTTACTGTTCTTCATGAATAATAAATTATATAATAATTTCTTATTCACACATCTCTTACAGAACAAGCTTGTTTGGCAATATTGCTTGTCATGATATTATGAAGCTATTAAAACTTTTATGGGTTAAAGGATTCCCTAAGTTTGCTTCAGTATCCTTGGTCACATTTAGTACAAGTTTAGTCTGGTACACAGCTATGTTTAGAACATGTTTAGTTAGCTTGGATCTGGGTTCAGGCAATAGTTCTATTGTCTTCTTGGAGAATCTGCTTTTTATCTTGTCTTGTCTAAACTTCCTTAGGTTTTATATTAATCTTTTTCATGCTGGGCCAGAACATCTCAGCAGCAGCTAAAACACTGGCGTGTTACCAACACCTTTCCTAGCTACCAATGCAACCAGCACTGTGAGGGCTGCTGTGGGAAAATGAACTCCATCCCAGCCAGACCCAGGACAATCTCTAGCAATCACACTTGGGAAAGAAGAGCTGTCCCTATACACAACTCTCTAACAAAAATAACTAAGTAAATAATCCAACATAAACCCTGAGTTATACATTTGTTGATCTCAAAAGCAGCAATCCATGACTGAACAAAAACCTGCAGAATGTGGCAGTAACAGGCAGACCATGGGCAGATTTGGCATTAAAGTTTCCTTATACTTTTCATCCACAGTAAAACAAAGAATCTACCTAACAATATTTTTTTTTTTTCCCCTAAAGCTCTTTCTTTGTTCCTTTGGAAGCTAATTACTGAGGTGTTAATATTCCAAGACTTTAAGCTTCTAAGAATATTTGAGGTGAAATGGTCACAAGCAAAATACCAGAATAGTTGTATTTGCCTATAAAAGCACAGACATATACTTGCTCTGCTTCCATTTCCCCTGACCTTTATCAGTTGAGATAAATGAGTTCCATTTCTCACACTAAAAAAAAAAAAAATAAAAAAATCCAGACTTACCAGTTCTTCACATTTTCCATTTCAGTGTTTTCTTCTCATTTTGTATTTCTGTTCACTAACTCAGCAAGACAATTGCTCCTCATTGCAATATTCACATGCTGTCCTTTCATTAATGAGTCTGAGTTGAAGATTAGCTTGAGAAAAACCCCACATGATTATGAAATGGATTATCTGGTAGTATGCCATTAATATTTCTCAGATGACATTTGCAGATGAACTTAACTTTTTAAGTGAAAATTATATGTTAATGAAAAATTTTTAAATGTGATCACATTTTTTCATGCCATTTCAGATGTTGAACCTTTTTCAAATTATTATATTAGACTTTATAGTTTTTGTTTTCTTTCTTTTTCAATCTCTTTATTGAATTTGCATGATCAACTATATTTGCTTTTAGTGTTCAATCTTGATGACTTATTCAAAATTCCATTTTCATACTGTTTTCACAGATGCTGCAAACCAGCTGGCTCCAGTCAAGACTTCTTGAATTAGCATCAGGGTCAACCTTTTCTTCCTTCCATCACTTGATCATGCAGCTGACACAAAAACACAGAGAAAGTAGGGAAGGATGGAAAGGAGGGGTACCCTGTTTTCCAGTGAGGAATTCTGATAGCACATTATTTTGAGCTGTTTAACTTGGTAGGAGTTTTGCTGCTGATTTTGGTGCCTATTGGTCCAGCCTTTTTTAAAGAGATTTTTTTTGTTGGATTCTTAAAACCCCCACATTACATTATTCAGAAGGAAAATACATCTACCAAGAGAAGTCACTTTTAGAGTAAATGTAGTAGTGAACTGTAGAAACGAATATATTTAACCTTTGAAATTTCTTTGAAAAACATTATATTATTCTCCCCAGTATCACCTTCAAAGGGCTTACTTGTAATGGCTCTCTTTCTTTTGATTTCATTGGGAATTGAAGAAATCAGTGCCATTAAAGGACACTTGAGGTTTTGATAGTAAAGGAACTGAGGGATTTCTGACTGTTTAATAAGAGGTTAAATAAAAAATGTATTTAAACCTCAGACTAGCACCAGACAATCATTTCCACATGCAACATGGAAAACCTGCAAGTACTTTTACCCAATATTTTAAATTCTTGCAATTAGTTCATGTAAGAAACATGAACTGTTTCTCCCCGATTTCATCAATACTGAAATCAAAGGCACTATGTCAACTAATTCTGCTGCTAAGAAACAAAGCAAAAATTCAGCTTTCACTGAGTATACAACATAACAGTAGGCAATCTGATTACTGTCTGTATTTTGTATAACATTAAAATTGTACTGTGTGTGTACATGTTTGCCCAAGCATGTTCATATGCAATATGGCTATGCAGCAGCAGAGTACACAGCTCTTTCCACTTAGGGATTCATTGTCTGGTCCTCTGAAAGGACCAAACACAATTGTGATGTCGATTGCAAACCCAACAACACCACAAATATTAGTCCCCTTGACAGAGCAGGTGTAGAGACTCATCTTCAGACAAGAAACATGGAGATGAACCTCCTCCTCAAAGGATTTTTAATTTTCCCCTCAAATATGTTACACTTTAGGGTTTAACCAAAACAAAACCTGTACACCAATGAAGTTGTGCAGCTTCTGTCAAACAGCCTGATCTTGTTCCTCGGTGTATCATTGTACTCTTATCTATGGGATAGATGTAGGGAAGATAAAGCCAAACCCTTTCCTGCCATTCACAGTGAAAGGATAAGAAGCCATGGATACTTGATATGAGGAAAAGAACTTACAATGAGCATGCTCAAACACCACACCAGAGAAGTCTAGATTTTTGCAACTTATTGACATAAAGTAGCATAATGATAAAAAGCTGAGGCAATCAGTGAAGTATTTCTGAAATTCCTTACCATGGTATGTGAGAATTGCTACAAGGACTAATTTGAGATATATCTCTGCAGATGCCTCATTTTCTAAAATAACTAGGTCATTAATCCATCAGGGATTGAATTCTATCTTTCTTTGACTTCCAGAAGTTCCTTTATTTACGGGAGTTGTCTGCCAAATTCAGGAAAATATGTCAAGACTGGAGTACAGAACAAACAACTTGGATTACACAAGCATTGCCTCCCTTGTCATCTGATGGAATAACAAGAGCATGTCTCTGAGAAATGAGCCATTTCCTTTCATCTATTTGAACTGGAAAGACACCATGCTGAACTGCACACTGAATCCTCTAGTACACATATCTTTACTTCAAATGAATTAACCACACACAACTAGATAGATCTAGATCTAGGAGACAGAAAGAGAGGGATAGAAATAGAGTTCAGCTCAAAATCCATGGGCATCCTTCTTCTTTGTGACTCCTCTTCAGGAGAATCCTCAGGGTTCAATCCCATGAAGCTCTGAATTACCTCACCTACCACTAACATGAAAGGGGTTCCAGGGCACTCGGTGTCTCACAGAACAGAGCTTCAGCCTGTCGACATGTTTAAACTACAGACATTTATTTCTAATGAATAAAATAACATTCCCTTCTATGCTCCCCCCCTTCACTAGTTCTTTTCTCCTTTCAGGCCTGATTTAGAAAAGTGTTAAGTAAAAGGAACACTTACTCCCTTCCTCTTCCATCACCAATTATCCCTGACTGACCCAGAGCCAAATGGCACAGAGGACTTCTTTGCCACATGGGTGGTCTCCTGGCTACAATTCTGAAACATAGTAATAAATTCAGCACTGCATAACTGAAGTCACAGAAGCAAAAATTAAGGGAGGGCATAGTTACTTTCTAACATTTTGTTAAATGAGACTGGTTATAATGTTTCTGTTCAGAAGCTCAATTCTTGCTTTATAAATCCAGCACCTACCTTTCCAAGTAGAATAATGGCCTTAACTATTATTAACATACTCATTACTGAACTTCTCCGGTGGGACAAAATAAATAATACTAATAAATACTAATGCTGAGTATCTAGGGATCAGAGCAGAAGTAAACAGTAAATAAAACCAATCTTGGATTCTGAAATGTTCTTTATTATAAGACATTATATTACATTATATATATATTATTAACATTATATTGTTATTTCATGAAGATGTCAACTACTTTGATGGCATTTCTCTGTAATGACAGGCTGTTGCAGGGCACAGCATTACTTTTAAAACCTATGGTCACATTAGGTTTGGGTAATTGCAAAGGCTGAGCCAACAGAGAAAAGAGAGCATTCTTATATTGAAAAAGTTCCCCACCACATCACTTGTACATTAGCAGCAGAGCTGGGGGAGGAGGGGCTCACTGCTTTCCTAAGGCTGGAAACAGTCCCAACATTCCCACTGCCACAATATTTTATTAATATTCCTTGTCTTACAGCCTGGCAAAGTGGAAAACTAGAGACCTGTCATCAATTAGAATGGTGATGATGAGCCAGCCTAAAACAGGCCCATGAACAGGGTAAGTGCCCCTGTGGTTTGTCAATTACCTGAATTATTTGCAGTAGTTTTAGTGTCATCTGCAATGAATACAAATAGAAAGCACATGATGTCTGGAATGCAGCATGTTTAAGATCAGCTTGGGTGTTAACAGAGGAGGGGAAACAACTGACATGTTTTAACAGAAATACTGCAGGAGAGGAGCTCTCATTCACATCTCTCTCCCTACCTTCATGCATGTTAAATAGACTCCATTCTGTCTGGTGGCCCTGGGCTTTTCATAGAGGATGAAACCTGGTGGAGGGAAGTGCAGCTCTGATGAGCCTGCAGTCTCTGTCACAGTGTCACTGGCCAGTGCCACTACTCTTGTGAGCAACTCACCCAGAATCAGGAAAATGGGCCAGCAGGACCGGTGGTGTACGTAACTTCAGGGGATCTCAGGTCACCAAGGCTTTTCTCTTCCCAAAAAATTATATTGTAGACAGAAGGTGACAATAAACAGAAGAAAAGGCAAGAGTTAGGAAATCCAGTATTCCTGAATTCAACCAAATTGTAAGGAATAATTTCTGAAAAGGGGAAAAATCAAATAAAAGAGATTGATCTTTTTTTGTATGTGTTTGTTTGAAAGCTTAGAAAATTTTGTGGTAAATTCCATGAGAAATATTTAGCAGTGACACAGAAAATATTATACTTTTGCAACAATGAACTTTTATTCTTTATCAGGAAAACAGCTGGACTACCACTGGTTTGGTGAATATGTAGACTGATTACTCATTTGTCTTCCTTTTACATTTCTCCTTTATATCTTTCAATCCTTCTTTGCTTTGTATCCTTCCCTCCCACTTCTTCTTTAACTTCCTCAGAAATCATTAGGTAACTGCAATGATTTGAAATTCATAATTATGTATCTGGCCACATTGATATGTTTTTGTTATTTAAAAGAATGCATGGGTAGTTTTTGGTATCTCTTCAAGTGCTGTTCCTGAAAAGTATTTTGAAATCTGTATTTTATATGGTGTGATAAGTTTCTGAATTTTCAGTAAAAGTACTGAATACAATAAAGATTTGGAGTACTACAAAGAGACCTATGACTCTAGAACCTTATCCTTTCTTCTTGGCTTTCATATAGCTCTGGGGGATAAATCATAAAAGCATACAACCTTCACTGAGAAATTTTAAATGCAGCTGTTTAGAATCCTGGCACTTTAAATGTCTGGGCTCCCCATTGCTGAAGCATTCAGACCAAGACAGAAGAGGTTGTTTTGTACCTAATTTTCCTCTACACACCCAGTGAATGCACAGGATGAACCAATAATACCAGTCTCCCTACAAAAATCAGATAATTCAGGAGAAGGAACAGAGAAGCCCAGCTCACGTACAGGAAAAGCGTAAAGTTCATTGGTTTCTCCAGGGCAAGTAACAAAGAGGCTAGGAGATCTTGACCACTAGAAAGAATGAAGCTCTAAGACCCAAAATGTGAGCAGAGATCATTGTTTTGAAAGGAGCAGCCTAAGAGCTGAAATATCAATTGACTTCATTCTGCTTACCAATAACAGTGACTGCATTTCTATAATGAAAAAAGTTTGAATTATTAAGACCTTACAAATTTCTTACAGCTTTAGAATATCAAAAACATTCAAAAGACATCCAATATCATTGGAAACAACTCCTTAAAATAATCTCAAATTCCCTCATTCATGTATAGAGACACAACAGAAGTGTGGAGTAGAATTTTGGCAACTTTTTTACTTGGTGCACATTCTGTCCTCATGCTATGAACATTAAATGAGATGATTCACTCCACAGAATATCCAGTATTGTTACTAAATTCCACAGTGACTGTTTTATTATGCTAATTGATAATCTAGTGTGCTCCAAAGATTAAAGAAAAATGAAATTAAAGCTGCAAAATCAAAGGGTAACAACTTTATAATGCCTCTTTAATTTAGTGAAATAAAATTAAAGTCACACAGAGATAGTATTGACTATGAATACCAAAAGGAATGTAATTGACAGAGTAAATGTTACAGAGCAGGGCTGCATAAGAGCAAAAAGAAATGGCAACAACTTCAGTGCACCTGCCTAGCTCTGCCACAAGGTCTTAAAAATCCTTGTGGACAGCCAGCCACAAAGACAGCTATGATGAATGTTTATGAAATCACAAGGAGATAGCATTGGAAGGGTCTGATTTTATAGGCATGCAAAAAGCACCTGAAATGTAATGTAGATGGTGATTACAGTAGAAGCTTGACAGTGCACAGGAAAAATGCTCCAATGACTGGAAAAATTTGAGCTGAACATACTGCAAGTTTTAAACGCTTTCCATGCTAACAGCCTGCATTAAAAAAAATTGGTTTCTTTTAGGCCATAATCTGTGGAGAAGTTGGCTCAATATTTAAGTTTTTGAAGTTGGTAGACACATGACAGTATAACCTTCAAATTCATGCTATTGTAGGCCAGTAATTCAAAAGTTCTCCTGTGCCAGACTACTTACCCAAACACCTTTTCCTCTACCAGATCCCCGACACTTCCTTACTGGTTGCATTTGATCTGGGGCAACTGCACCAATCCCATTGAAAGGAATATCATACCTTCAAATTGCTTTGTGGACTGCTGGGATCAATGGCAGTGTATAAGACTTTTTCAGTGGAGATTGCCATTGCAACTCTGATGTCAAAAATGTAAAGGTGTTAACTTCTACAGGCCTTGTGGCTACAGTGATAAATGAGTCAGTCATGCTCTACATCCCGTGTGATATTCTCATTTATCACAAAAATCATTAACATTTTTTTATCCCTAGATGTAGCATGTATGGATCAAGAAAAAAAGTCCTTCTTGGAGTATCTTCACTAAACTTATTCTGTGAAGAAGAGTCCACTTCTTCTGGCTGTCAACACAACATATTTTTGAAATTATGAATTCACAAACAAAATTCTGCAAAATTGCCTATATCTAGCAGAACAGAATTTACATGAGTAAAATAACCAGGTTTTACACAGTCAGGTTTTCACATCCTGATTATTTTTAAATTGCATAGTGAAAAATGAATGAACCTGCACTGAGGGATACATCTCAGCTTTTTAGACATCTACAATGTAGATTTTTACATATACTAAGCATCTAAACAACCTCTGTAGCTGAAACAAAAAATAGTACTTTCTGGAGGATGATTTTTTCCATTAATGAAAGATGAATCATGGCCAGTACATGTCTAAAAAGCTCGAGTATGGCCATCTACACTGTCAGCTTTTGAAATTGAGTAAAAATAATCTTTTTTTCTCCCAGTCAGGAGAGCAGAGGTTATAGTTATGTGCTCTTTAGAAAATAAGTCCTATTTATGAACAAATTAATTAAAAAAAATTATTTACATGTGACCTCAATATCATATTTGCTTATTCATCAAAAACTGAAGGTGGGAGAAGAATCTCTTTGGAATAATTCAATAATAACATCCCTCCTCAAATATGGGGATTCTACATTTAAATCCTTGTCTGAATGAGAATCTTTGACTTATTTAAATAAGTTTTACATCATTACCTGGTATTTTCCCCACTATTACAGTTCCTGCAAATATTTCAGTTACAGGAAAATTAGATCCAATGGTGATACATACACGAGGAATTTACCAGAGAGATTCCCAGACCAGCTTTCACACTAAGATTCACTAGCAAAGAACATCCCAGCTCCCTGCTACTAAACCTTCCTATTCAGCCTAACACAGGGCCCATAAGCTATCTGCAGGCATAGCACCTGTTTTAATGTCATCCCTGAGCTCTGCCTTGGAATTGTTTGCAGCTGCTATTGGTCTGGGTTAAAAATAATGCCAGGTGCTATGCTAACAATTAAGACAATGAATGCCAGTGATGTCCTTAACATTTCATCTGCACTCCGATGAAATGCATTCAACTCCTCTGGAATTTTCAGAAATCAGTTCATCACTGATTTTAGGTTTTTTCCATAATATTAGGAAGTTCACAGGCTCTGCCTATTTCAGCTAAAATAGATCTATATAAGAGTGTGGGTCAGAAGCTAAGCAAAAAGATGATCGCTCATTCTGCACTCACACCAGAATGGTAAAAGCAAGAGTAAACACTTGGGTCAAGATACAAATGGCTTCATAACTGAAGGAAGGAAAGATAAAAATCAAGCATGTGATATAAAGGCTGTCACTCTCCAACTCCCAGCAGGAGAAATTCCCAGCCAATCTCAAAGCAAGCACAATTTTTGGAAAATCTGTCTCCTCAACTTCACTGTTGAGCACAATGCTATATAGCACACAATATCCCTTTGATCAATTTAGGTCAGCCATCCTGGCTTGGTCCCCTCTCAACTTCTTGTGCACCCCCAGCCTATTCACTGGCAGCCAAAGAGATAAATAGAGAAAGCCTCTATGCTGCAAAATTACTGTTCAGCAGTAGCCAAAACACTGATGTGCTATCAGAACCATTTTAGACATGGGTCCATACAGCTTCCTATGAAAAAGGTAAACTCCAAAACAGCCAGATCCAGTCACTACCCAAAATGAAAAATAAATTTTGGTCTATGAAACAAGCTCTTCCAATTGCCAAAAATCCCAGATTATGGGAAAAGCATTTAAATATGTGATTTATTTATAAAAAGAAGATATTTAGAAAAGTGATATTGTTATTGCTGGGATCAAATTTTTCATAAAGTAACAGAATGCAGAGGTATAAGAATCAGTCATTTGAAATAATGCTTTCTTATTAGTCTTCCAAGTTTTGATTTAACTCAGGATTTAAATTTCAAGATTAGTTCAAAGACAGAGGAAACAGCACAATTCTGTATATAATTCTGGTATCAGTGTGTCCCATAAATTATAGGATTTTTAAAATAGTTAAACAGCCATTTAAAGTATAGACAGTAAGTTTGTAACATCTAGGAATGTTAAATGACACTGGATAATTGAATTGTGTAGAACAATATAAACCTAAACAACAATTTTCTGGTGTAAACCAGGTCAGGGATGTATATTTCAGCTCAGAATAATGCATCTATTCTATCAGAAAATAAAGTTTCACATCAGTTGTGGGCAATGTCAAAGACAAGAAAAAGTGTTCACCTTCTTAGGCATGTGTACTATTTATAGCAAGAGAGAAATTAGAAATTTTTTGCTGGGGTTTATGAAGTTCTGATTCCACTATGCACAATGTCAGAACTGCCTAGGATTCAGCTATGGATTTCTTGGCCAGAAGTGTGGTACACAGGAAATAAACAGTCACAGTGACTGAGAATCCAAGAGTATCTTACACTCATCATGGATTCTTTATTAGTCCAATAAGCCAGTGAAACTCGTTTGGGAGCCCTTTGTGAGCTGATGACATCTTTACAACATGAGGTAGCAAACTGATATACGAGTTTCTGTATTAATCTGTGGGCGGCTGAAATATCTTTCACAACCAAATGCACCAGGAAAGCAAAAGAAGCATCTGTGTAGACAGGGATAAAACATAGAAAAGCCAAGATCCAAGCCTGTATAATGAATACAGCTAGGCCCT